TGCCGTTCTATAGTATGCATATTCTTACCGCGACAAGAAATGTTAAAATCATCCACAAAAAGTGATCCATCAATTGAATCGTTTAAAACCTTGGATAAACTGTTGATCTTAATGCTAAATAAAGTTACGGACAAAATACTACCTTGGGGACACCCTGATCCTGATTATAATGGTCAGACAGGGTTGAACCCACTCGGACCTGAAATTGCCTGTCTTTTAAAAACTGTGATATAAAAGAGGTAAACGGCCTCTCAATCCAAAATCATGTAAATCCTTTAAAATGCCATGCTTCCAGGTGGTATCGTACGCTTTCTCAAGATCAAAAGAATATCGATACGGCATGTTGTTTATTTACTATTGCATTTTAACAAAGGATTCTAGTCGTACCAAATGATCAATGGTACTACGATTTTCCTGAAAACCACATTGAATATTGGTTATAAGGTTATTGGTTTCAAGATACCATGTTAATCTATTGTTTACCATTCGTTCCATGGTTTTACAGACACAACTCGTTAAAGAGATTGGTCTGTAATTAGACGGATCAGTACGATCCCGGCCAGGTTTTGGAATGGGGACTACAATGGCATTACGCCAGGAAGTTGGGAAATTCCTGTAGTCCATATCATATCAAATATATTGAGCAGTGTTACCAAACACGATTCGGGCAAATGCTTTAGGAGCTGATAGTGGACATCATCAGCCCCTGTAGCTGTATCATGAGAGCTTGCTCAAGAGCGGTATGTAGCTCATCGAGTGAAAATAATTCATTATAATCTTCACCATTGTCGGAGTTAAAATTTATTCTTTTCTTCTCCTGTTGTTTCTGGTGTTTTTGAAACTCAGGGACATAATTTGATGATGAAGAATGTTTGGCAAGCGTTTCGCCAAGTTTATTTGCTATGTCAGTTTTATGAGTTAAGAGATTATCACCATCCTTCAGATGGTGCACAGTAGATTTAGAACCTTTGCCCTTTATTCTTTGGACCATGTTCCACACCTTGGACATAGGTGTACGTGAATTTATTTTGGAAACATAGTTCCTCCAAGACTGACGCTTATGCTGTTTAAATGCGCGTCGAGCCTTGGCATTCAAAATTTTAACTTTGTCTAAATTATGGACAGTAGGATGTTTGCGAAAAAACTTTTCAGCTTTCTTCCTACTTTTTCTGGCCTGTTTACACTCATTAGTAAACCATGGTTTACGAATATGTGGAATTGCAGAGGACTTGGGGATAGTGTGGTCAGCAATGTCATTGAGCATATCAGAAAACAGCTGTATAGGATCTTCAATGTTCTGAAATAGGTCATACTTCAAACGTTCAACACACAGAGTCTCATACAATGACCAATCAGCCCTGGCGAAGTTCCTTCTTGATAAAGGTGGATCATCACCAGGGTTTATTGTTTTGAGAATGGTTGGGAAATGATCACTCCCACACAGGTCATCATGGACCATCCATTCAAATTCATTATATAACGTTGAGTCGGTGAGTGACAGATCCAGGGAAGAATATGTTCCCGTAGCTGGATGTAGGTAAGTGGCTGAGTCGTCATTGAAAATACATAAATTGTTATCGGAAATGAATTCCTCAAGGATTTTACCTTTAGTATTAATGTGGGCACTTCCCCAAAGCGGGTTGTGTCCGTTAAGATCGCCCATGATGAGGCATGGCTTCGGAAGTTGATCATACAGGTTTTGAAGATCGGATTGTTGGATAGTAGAAGAAGGGGGGATATACAAACTGCACAGTGTTAAGGCAATGCTCAAAGTCAGACGAACAGCGACAGCCTGGAGATTGGTATGAAGGGAAACAGGGCTATGGATAATACCCTGCCGTACCAAAATTGCCTCTTTTTGGAGGCTACTGAGGGCATTAGCACCTCTGTTGAGTAAGTAATATTAATTTGAAAATGCTTTAATACTATTGTATGTAATACATGATGTAAAAGTATTAATTTAAATCAAAATTTATTTATTGATTTGGTGTGATTATGACCTCTAACCATTTCGTGTTAATTTAGGTATATTGTTCTCATTTCAGTGATGATGACTGTATCATCACAGGGGTGGACGTGCCTGCTACCACACGCAGCACAGTAGTTGCCGGATGCCATCCGTCTCCACCACCACTGAGGGGACATCTTCCCCCTCCTCCTCATAAGTGTATATTAGATACATTAAAGATATTACTATCTGAAGTAAATGTATTATCATCATATACAGGGTTTTTATCTTATTTTTTCCTTCTTTTTTTCAGATTAAGGGAAGTCTTCCAGGCCAACATAGTGGAGAAGGGAGGAGCTGAAGAGTCAGTACTTGATATTTTAGAAATATAAAAAATACTCAGTACGCTACAACAATGAAACCGTTCGCTAATCCCAGACCGAAAAAAAGGTTTCGTAAAGATGACTGTACAATTCAACCCAATATGTGAAATAAAGACCAAAACGAGTCAGTACTTGATATTTTAGAAATAGCCCTTAAAGATTATTAGGTTTTTGTAGTGTTAGTTGGTGTTAGTTTTGTATAATTTGTTGTATTATTTTGTTCATTATTTTGTACATATTGTTTTCTTTGGGTTTTTTTTTGGTGTGTGTGTGTTGTTAACCGCAACGAAATATCATTTCTGCATCAAAGATCGCCCCGATCGCTTTGTCTACGAGGATGACTGTTATTACAGCAACAATTTGACAGCAGTATCGTTTGCTTTAGAAGTAGTAAAATTGATGTCGATGGACCCTATAATATTCAGCTGTCGAGTTATAATTTTAAGATGCCGCTCCCGAAGGAAATAAAGGCAGAGAAACACAGACAAGATTTCAAACATATCCTCGATGCGTACTATATCGCAGCATTGCGCGATGGCATAGAGATGATGATGAAAGAAAATAAGTGTCCATGTCCGTGATGTGAAATCGACCATCCCTCGCAACATAAACACACATGTCTCTATCCCAAGAGCTATAGTTACCATTTCACTGATCATGTCAACACCATTGTCCATTACGACCCGAAACCTTTCCACGAAGATGAGATGTGGGTTCGGGAAAATTATTTGACAAGCGAAAGGGTCATCACCTTAAAAATAATTATGGACTGAATGTGAAAATCAGAGACAATATAAGTGTTATGCGTAGTTGGTTTACATGAATGATTATGGATCAGGTCAGTGTATACATGAGTTTGTCGATATATGCAATCCTTTAGAGTCATGATAAACTATATGAATGGCGAACTGATAAGGCTATATTATCATGCATTTTTTGAATATATTGTAATAAAATTGAAAACCTGTCTCAACTTGTTTGATGTTTTTTTTTGTCGTGTGTGTGTGTGTGTATGTTGTTAATTTTGTTCATATGTATGTCTTTTTTGTAAAATAAAGAAGCCCAAGGGTGGGCAAATGATTCATTCATTGTGGAGTACAGTCATATCACACCTGTTACTTCACATGAATGGGTGACTTGTCCTAACCCATCAAAACATCTAGACATGCTGGGATAAAGGCTGTTGAATATATTCTCAATACTCTCTATACCAAGGATTTCCTATGAATGCCAGTAGTGTTATGGGGTTCTCTATACAGACATTTCCCTATGGAGATTTAACATAGCCCGACTTACTTATGTAAATGAGGGCAAACACTCTTTGACCTCATTTCACGCCTCGGTGTTATGATCCGAACACGAGATCACTCGAACGCACCATCGAACACAAGATCACCAGAACGTGACGAGAACAAATACACCGACCTTATTTCCCACACCTTTTATCAGAACTAACGAACCTAATTTACCCCCCATCGGAATAACATCCAATATTCTTCATGCGATAGATAATTGTGTTTCTCCTTGTTGGAATGACCGTTACATCATCAGTGTTAATTCTCCGCTTGGTAGTCGGTACTAACACTTACATCATCAGTGTTAATTATCCGCTTGGTAGTCGACACCAACACGAGGTGTTTACTCCACCCGCGGATGCGTATCGAGGTAATAATTTCATCAGTGAGTTATCGCCGACGAGTACTACCGCTGTTTAGTGAAATAATCAGAGCGAGAGAGTCCTTGATTGTTTCACCATCTTGATTACTGATAATCACTCACACTCGGAGACGCGTTCCCCGATGAGGGATAATATTGTATTAAAGGAGTTGTTTGTTTGTTTGTTTCTTCTTTATTGATTATTGTTTTTGTTTGTATAGTCATTGTCACGTAATGATTGTTGAGTGGTGGAAAAGGTAACCTCTTCATTGTTGTAGCGTTTGTGGAGATTTCTGTGATATTCAGAATCTGTTCTATCGTAACATTTAAAGGAACAGTGACTGCATCGATAAATTGTTCTCACACCAGTCGAACTATCAATTTTGCGACACTGCACCGGTCGAAACTCTAGTAAATGTTCGAGAGTCATGAACCAAGGTTTGGATAACTCATCATCGTCGGATGAATCTCCCGACATATTCATAGTAGAATCAGCCTCGCATGCGTCGGGTTTCTTACTCGATGCAGACATCTTCACCCCACGATTGAGCATCGTCTACGCGACCAAGGGTTTAGTTAAGTGTCTTATATATCACACAATCTATATTCTTTTCAAACAAGACGCATTGAACTGAAGTTGAATTGAGTCGTAAACAACACACTATCCATTCAACCACTGTGTCCCTTCGTTCGCGCACCACTCGTTTCATCTACTGATGTTGACCCCAATCAGTTCGATGAACGCGAATGTGCGAACACAATAATTATCAAGTGGTTTATATTTTTATTATATCGCTCAATGTCAAAACCCCACCATCAACACCTGTTGAAGCGGAGGTGAATTTAGTCGTAAATACCACACTGTTCTTTCATCGCACTCTCGTTTTATCATTGATACTGATCCAGTTTTCGATGTTGTGAATTTAGGCGTAACAATATTTCCACACTCGCGCATCGTTTCATCAACACACCGTATCACTTAGAGACGTGGTTAACGTGTATTCACCGCAAATAGTATATATATATAGGTAAGTAATATTATTGGTATGAGTGTTGATGTTATCACAAGATATCCTACAGTATGATCTATTGTTTCACCATACCATAGATGATCACCAAACATTAAAGAACAATAAGCATAAGAATAACATATCATTCCCAACACTCTCACATTACACCAACTCATAAAGAATGATATAAGAACGGCATCAACCAATGAATGCAGGATACACCCGTAATGAGATCACCGCGGGGTCTAATGACCAATCAGAGAGGTGATAATGACGTTACTAATGAACTGGACTCAGGTCACGACCCCACACCGTTATCTGCCGCGGACCATTGACCCACTCACCACTGATCACCGTTAGACACCAACCTCAGCAATGGAATCGTTAAGTGTTATTGTTGTTTTGGTTTTGAGCGTTGTACTTTCACACTCGCTAGACATTCCTAAACGATGCGTGATTCGTCATCGGAATTTCATGCAGTGCTTCGGCACCGGATCCCGCAACCTGGTGGGTGGATACCATCCTGCGGTTGTGCGTGTGCAGGGTCAAGGGTGGGATTCCCCATTCATGATCGACGGTCGAGCCTACCCCGGGTTGAGGTATGTCGAGCTCGCAAATTCTCACATCACTTGCGAAGACATCGTGAGACCACCATTCATCACGATCAACATCCTACACAGAGATGTGTGTCAATCGGTGAGTGTTTATGATTACTAACACACCTCGATGTTTATGATTCGATCTTGTCTTAATAGTGGGTACATAATATAAGATAATATTAATTATTCACAGACAACGGACTTACCCTCAGCTCCGCAGAGGAAGACCACTTCACCATCTTCATCCCTCCATTCAACACCCACAGACTCCACCTCAACCACTCAAATCGCCGTTGATTCTTCCCACACTCCATCTGGTTGGTATTGATCGTTTATTATGTGATGGTGATTGTTTATTATTATTATTATGTGATGTTGTAAGACGATATTCAACCAACTGCGACTGTTGTTTACTCGTATCAATTTCTTAACAGACTCACACCAAAGGCAAACTGAAGACACCACTGATAAAAAACACACCCACACCACCACTATCAACGACCGGCTCTCATCCACCACCGAGGCACTCATCGACGGTAAATATCGAGTTTTTTGAGTTTCCGAATTAAGTTCGTATATAGTATATATATATATATATATATATATATATATATGATGATATATATATATATTATATATGATGATGATGATGATTTTATGCTTCCAGTTACAAATTCCACCCCAACTGCTATGTTCACCGCCAGCCGCATTACCGTGTCTATCAACTCCATCTACATCGCAGGAACGGTTACTTCAACCCTCGATATATCCACCCTCAAACCATCATCATTCAGCTCCTCCATCATCGAAGGAAAGCGTAATAATAAAACGGTTGAGATATATAATGCGTCAGGTACACATACTCCGACAACACCACTCGCCAATGGAGTAAATATGTATAACTTAACTATTGATATGGTTGTGTTAGTGATTTTGTCTTTAATTCTGACTCTGATATTCTTTGTTATTCATCGTATGAAAAGTAAAATCAGCTATATCCATATGAGACAACAATTACCAAACGCGAGCGAGCTACGATCCGTGTTTGATGCATATACTCACGATCGGGGTTCTTTATCTGAAAAAATGGAATGGGACGACACCGGGTTTAATGAATCTTACCATATGTTGAAAATACTTCGTTTTCACCGGAATGATTGTAATCACGCAGTAACGCGATAATGTTGAAAATACTTCGTTTTCACAGGAATGATTGTAATCACGCAATAAACAGCGCTATGTTACAGACGCAAAATGGTGGTGGTCGCTTTGTGGTGTTGGTGTTTTATTAATCGCGGTCGGCGTAACCACAGCTATATGTTATCATCGCAATTCTACCGTGAGGATGTGTTATGTACGTATAATGAAACCAAAGTCACATCACCCGCTAAACTCAGGAATGGAATTGGATGATATAACTACTACTACTACCGTTTAAAGGTAAGAATCGTAATCACCACCATCATCGCTGTATTGTAGGAGTATTTAATCATATCACCCGTAATTAAAAAACGAACTTATACAAACATAATTGTCTTACAGGAATCGAGTCGTGGGTGCCGCCGGTTGTGGGGGTGCTGGGATTTGGTTGGATCATCATCGGTGTGTACTGTGCGTGGGTGTGTCGACACCGTTCCAAGTGTTGTTGGAGTAGACGAAGTTGTTGTCGTCGTAACACCACAAATAATCCGTACGATATCGAAATTGATATTTTTGAAGTGAGTGGGGCCACGGGGTGCAACCCTGACTCTATACCGGTGATCGAACATCACCATGCTGAATAGCTATCACCACCACTGATGTGTGTTTGTGTGTAATCATCACTATATACTTCTTCCAGCCCTGTTCGTTTATCTGGAGGACACGGTTCTGTGGATTGTCATGGGGTTTATGCTCTTCGCGAGGGAGAGAATAACCCGTTTCGTGCTGGACGGGTTCATTCTACGCTTCCATCCACGCAGACATCAACAACAACCTCAACAGCCTCAGCAACAGCATCAACCTCAACAACAGCAACAACCTCAACAACAGCAGCAACCTCAACAACAGCAACAACCTCAACAGCAACAGCAGCAACCTCAACAGCAACCACAACTCCAAGAACCCCAACCCCCTCAACTCCGAGAACGTCATCATCAGCTCCATCATCAAGCACCCCCTCAACAACGACAACATCAACTCCCTCTTCATCAACCTCAACAACAACCACAACGTTTGAGGCGATCCACCAGGTGTAGGAGAGCCCCCCAACAGACTTACCTATTGACATTGTTTGTGATGGTGTATTCTTTGTAAATGTGGAGATGATTGGTTTGTAAAATGTGTGTGTGTGTGTGATAAATAATCATTGTGCATATTCTTGTTTTTGTATTGCTTTGAGCTTAGTTTATTTAACCAGGCGTCTATCGGTTGGGGATGGTTGTCAACACCACATCAACTTCTCGCATAAATTCAACCACTTTAAGATGGGGGGTAACATAGCATCGCGTGATTACTGAACTTCAATAATAAGACTTGGTTATGTGATCTTTTGATGTGGTGTTGACTTGCCTCCACCGTGATCAACAGAGTGGTCAAATAACAACAAACTATTATGTTAAAGTTGAGTCAGGAAAGCGTAATGATAAAACGGTTGAGATATATAATGCGTCAGGTACACATACTCCGACAACACCACTCGCCAATGGAGTAAATATGTATAACTTAACTATTGATATGGTTGTGTTAGTGATTTTGTCTTTAATTCTGACTCTGATATTCTTTGTTATTCATCGTATGAAAAGTAAAATCAGCTATATCCATATGAGACAACAATTACCAAACGCGAGCGAGCTACGATCCGTGTTTGATGCATATACTCACGATCGGGGTTCTTTATCTGAAAAAATGGAATGGGACGACACCGGGTTTAATGAATCTTACCATATGTACGAAGAAGTCCGCGATAATGTTGAAAATACTTCGTTTTCACAGGAATGATTGTAATCACGCAATAAACAGCGTTATGTTACAGACGCAAAATGGTGGTGGTCGCTTTGTGGTGTTGGTGTTTTATTAATCGCGGTCGGCGTAACCACAGCTATATGTTATCATCGCAATTCTACCGTGAGGATGTGTTATGTACGTATAATGAAACCAAAGTCACATCACCCGCTAAACTCAGGAATGGAATTGGATGATATAACTACTACTACTACCGTTTAAAGGTAAGAATCGTAATCACCACCATCATCGCTGTATTGTAGGAGTATTTAATCATATCACCCGTAATTAAAAAACGAACTTATACAAACATAATTGTCTTACAGGAATCGAGTCGTGGGTGCCGCCGGTTGTGGGGGTGCTGGGATTTGGTTGGATCATCATCGGTGTGTACTGTGCGTGGGTGTCGACACCGTTCCAAGTGTTGTTGGAGTAGACGAAGTTGTTGTCGTCGTAACACCACAAATAATCCGTACGATATCGAAATTGATATTTTTGAAGTGAGTGGGGCCACGGGGTGCAACCCTGACTCTATACCGGTGATCGAACATCACCATGCTGAATAGCTATCACCACCACTGATGTGTGTTTGTGTGTAATCATCACTATATACTTCTTCCAGCCCTGTTCGTTTATCTGGAGGACACGGTTCTGTGGATTGTCATGGGGTTTATGCTCTTCGCGAGGGAGAGAATAACCCGTTTCGTGCTGGACGGGTTCATTCTACGCTTCCATCCACGCAGACATCAACAACAACCTCAACAGCCTCAGCAACAGCATCAACCTCAACAACAGCAACAACCTCAACAACAGCAGCAACCTCAACAACAGCAACAACCTCAACAGCAACAGCAGCAACCTCAACAGCAACCACAACTCCAAGAACCCCAACCCCCTCAACTCCGAGAACGTCATCATCAGCTCCATCATCAAGCACCCCCTCAACAACGACAACATCAACTCCCTCTTCATCAACCTCAACAACAACCACAACGTTTGAGGCGATCCACCAGGTGTAGGAGAGCCCCCAACAGACTTACCTATTGACATTGTTTGTGATTGTGTATTCTTTGTAAATGTGGAGATGATTGGTTTGTAAAATGTGTGTGTGTGTGATAAATAATCATTGTGCATATTCTTGTTTTTGTATTGCTTTGAGCTTAGTTTATTTAACCAGGCGTCTATCGGTTGGGGATGGTAGTCAACACCACATCAACTTCTCGCATAAATTCAACCACTTTAAGATGGGGGGTAACATAGCATCGCGTGATTACTGAACTTCGAATAATAAGACTTGGTTATGTGATCTTTTGATGTGGTGTTGACTTGCCTCCCACCGCGTGATCAACAGAGTGGTCAAATAACAACAAACTATTATGTTAAGTTGAGTCTTTATATAATATAATACACTCTCACACACATACATACACAAACACACACACACACACACACACACACAGAGTAATCTAAATCGAGCTTTCTTCTTCATCGCTTCGATCAACTCTCTCTCTCTCTCCACTCCAGTCTCTCTCTCTCTCTCTCTCTGTCTCTCTCTCTCTCTCTCTCTCTCCTCTCTCTCTCCTCTCTCTCTCTCTCTCTCTCTCTCTCTCTCTCTCTCTCTCTCTCTCTCTCTCTCTCTCTCTCTCTCTCTCTCTCTCTCTCTCTCTTGACACCCCGATGATGTGGCCGTAGGCGTCCCTCGGTCTCACCACACAAACAGAGGGATCTTTTTTTTGGGTGGTTGGGGGTTTGGTTGTGGAGTTCATGACGAGGTTTCAGAGTTGAATCTCGTGGTGATGGGAGCTTCTTCGGTTTTCGCCCGAGGTGTGGTGATTGTATGTGTGTGTGTGTGTGTGTGTGTGTGTGTGTGTGAGAGAGATACTCTCTATCCACTCACCCTCCTAAACAAAACATTAAGACTTGTAACAATCACAACTGCACTTGAGCTGGACCTAGAATTAAATCAACCGTGATGATGGGTTGTGGGACTAAGTATCTATCTTACTCCTCTCGTAAAATAAACCAACCGGTCAGTGCTGATTGCTTGCGATACCACATCGTGTTACCCATCAAAACCATCGGTGATCACAAAGTGGACTTTGGCTGGACCTAGTATCAAATCGACCATGTTAATGGGTCGTGGGACAGAGTATCTATCTTGCTCCTCTCGTAAAATAACCATCCGGTCAGTGGTGATTGCTTACGATACACAATATGATACCCATCAAACCACCGGTGCGGGTACCCGCGCATTGATTAGGAATTAACAGAAGAAGAATACGGTGTTGTGACTGCATTATACATTATAGGTGCTCAAACACCCCAATAAAAATCCTCAAAGGATAAGATCAGCAGTGTCATGGATACATATACATCCATTAAAACAGAGTTGAATAAAAACCGCGGTGTCATGGTTACATATACGAATATATATAGGTCACACACACACACACATTAAAACAGAGTTGAATAAAAACCGCGGTGTCATGGTTACATATACGAATATATAGGTGACACACATACACCCATTAAAACAGAGTTGAATAAAAACCGCGATGTCATGGATACACTTGTATATATCTCGGTGACACAAACACACCAATAAAACTCCGATGAATAAGAATTGGAGTGTTGTGGATACATACGAATATATCTCGAACACACAAACATTCCAATAAAAACCAATGAATAAGAACTGCGGTGTCATGGTATTCGACTGCTCATATATATATAGGTATTCCGCGGTGGTGATGTGCGTGCGTGAGAGAGAGAGAGAGACAGACATACTACACGTGGTTGTTTATCACCGAAGTCACTCATCTATTAATCATCAGCATGGACGTCTCAACTACTTCCACTAAAAGAGCCGAGAAGAGATCGCAGACGTCGAGAGCGATGCGCTACCCCATGCGAAACGAAGAACAACACAATCCAAGATGGATGATTTTATAGTTATTGAGGAAATAAGTGGTGATGAAAGCTCCGACGTTGTGAAGAAACAAACACCCAAACCCAAACCAAATGACGCAATCAACAGGGGGGATGAAACCCCGTGGGGTTGTGAAAACTTAAATCCCCAACCCGATTCGGAAGATTCCGATGATACTGTTGTTGTGTTGAACGACGACGACAACACCGACTATTACTCGCTAAACAGTGATGATGATGATGATGATGTCCACGTCATCATCAATCCAAAATTAGACGAGTGGGTCACCATCAAAGGTACCGTTTCGACGGCGCTGAAGGTAAAAGTGGACTCCCGCTATGTGCGGGTGAGTAAAAGAAATTCGCAGGAAGAACCGAAGAGGTTGAAAATGCCCCGGAACGTCGCGGAAAAGGTATGTTGATGATGTAGTAATCGGAAGGGTGTGGAACATTTATCCCATAAACCGAGTTAACCTTTCTTCAATTCCATTTTCTCTAACGATGGGACTATATTGTTTACCTAGACACTATGATTTACATTGAAACGTCGCGATAAACCACCGTTAATTTCCCGCTCTTACAACGGGTTGTTATATCCATTCACTTACTAGACACTACTATAGATATACGTGAGTGGTGAGGCGTAGCCGAGATATGGTGTGTGAATAGAGTGGTTGTTATTATATCCTCCATAAGCCGCGTTAACCTTCAACTCGTTTATCTAACAATGGGGTTATTTCCCGCTCTAACGGTGGGTGTTATAAACCAATTCACTTGCAGACACTACTATAGAGATATATGTGAAGTGGTGGGATGAAGCCGAGATATGGTGTGTGTGAATAGAGCGGTTGTTACTATATCCCCATAAACTGTTACTATTGATCTCATTCAGTTCTATTATTATTACAGTTGATATCAAGGGTTGGCCGCGTGAAAAGAGAGCTGAGCAAGTTGAAGAAGAAGTATAGGAAGCGGAATCGCGCCGGACTGATCAAAGGCTTCACGCTATCAAAACACCCGTGGTTTAAGATAGCATACAGTAAGCTAAACAGCTACTGGTATGTAGATGTGAGGAAATTCACCAGTCCGAGGGGGGACGTTTACCAGAGAGATAATGGAGTGTGTTTCGCAGCAGAGGACGCGATGAAGCTCATCACCCACATCAATGCGTTTGTCGACATCCCGATAGCGGGATGAGGCTTTAATGCGAGAAGGGAAAAAACCACACCACCAGTTGCTATGGCAACCACTTCGAAAGAAGAAGATAGTAGTAGTAGTGTTAGTTCGATCGTATTAATCAGATGCAAATTATGCAATGACTGGGTGAAGGGTCGTAGTGAGTTTAATAAACATTACAGACGATGCAGGCGGCGAGAGAAACGTTTCTTTGAATGTGTAAAGTGTCATTTAAGGTTCGATAATTATCGAGGATTTGATACTCACGTGAATAGCGGTTGTGTGAATCCCGCTCCCAAATTCAAAATCAGCGTTTTAAAGTGTAACTCGTGTGGTTTAACTTTCACCTCAAAAAACAAATTTAACACTCACACGAGTCTGTGCAACACCACCCACAACCCCTCGACTCACACCTGCGCAGACTGTGGGAAAAGGTTTGCACAAAAACGAGGGCTAAGTGTGCATTCCCGTGTTTGCAAATCGTCTCCCAATAAAATAGGAATTAAATGTCGCCTCTGTGGGGAATCATTCCCCAACAGACGTCTGATGTGGAACCATCATCGCACAACACACAACAATGAACAAGTCGGGGGTCAACAAATCGACGACGACGACGATAACGACACCAACGATGATGGTGATGATAACATCATCCCTCGTCTACAACCAGAACCTTGGGGTGCTGAGGAAAAACAAAGACCTTGGACCGATGATCGGGGAGAAGTAGTCGACAGAGCGCTCTTGGAGAATTATCATGTGCATAGAGATATAATACTCCGTCAGCATCGCACACAAAGCGGTGTTTATCACACCTACAACTTCCCACTAACCGGTTATGACGCCGAATCTACTGAGTTTTCCTCCCACCTCAACTATATATTTTCAAACGAACAACGCTCTTTCAAGGTGAATGTGGCGTTTGGCATCATTTTGTCAAACATTGAAACCGGAGAATATAGATACTTCATCGCCTATAGAAATAACCAACTTTTTGAAAGACCGCAAGCTGTTAATGATTTCAGATCACTACGCAGAGTAGTGAAAAAGATCAAGCGGAAAAGCGTTGATGATCACGTGCTGTCGCAGAGACCCAACACCAAATGGATGCCGGTGTTTGTGACTAATGTTGTATATTCTGTGTATTTGACGTCCTACGTTTTAGGGAAGAACGATCGGACTATTCCCTCATGGTTACGGAAAAAGAAATGTGTGTTATTGACAAGACAACGACACCATAACTCTTTGTGTGCGTTTCGTTGTTTAGCAACCCATTTAAAATTAGCAAAGAAGAAAGGATTACCCTCCGATATTAACCACGAAAAGAGGACTTTACAACTTTTTCGCCAATGGACTCGAAATGTTAAAAAGCACAAAATTTACAAATCACCGAAAGACTTTCCTGGGCTTAAAGTTCCCGATGATGTGGCGGCGTTTGAGAGAGTGTTCAACGTTCGCGTGAATGTGTTCACCTTAGAGGATTTTGGCTATTCGTGCACTCCATTATATTTGTCAACGAGAGAAACTCACACACCGGGTGTTACGGATTTAAACATGAATTGTTATGACGGTCACCTGTCCTACATAACAAACCTCAACACATACGCGCGTCGTTATAAATGCAGACATTGTGATGCTTGTTTCAAGAATTCTTCCGCCGCTCGACGACACGAAAAAGTCCCGTGTTCAAAACGAACTCGTTTGAAATTACCAGGTGGTTATATGAAATCAAAGCAAACGGTTTTTGAACAGGTGCGGGATATGTGTGATATCAATATTCCTGGGGAAATTAGGTGTTACGATTTCTTCATCATGTTTGACATGGAAGCATTGTTGCTGAGGAACCATCACCATCGTGATGATGATCAAAGTAACACCTTGTGGACACAAAAACATCACCCGATATCGGTTAGTGTTTGTAGCAATGTTCCGGGTTATACAGAACCACGGTGTATGGTGAGTGCGGATATGCGAACTTTACTGAGTGATATGGTTGGTTACATGTCTCAGATAGCTGACGAGGCTCGAAAACGAACGGAACACAAACTGCGCTCTGTTCTCGAGGAGCTTAACACCCGGATTAAAGACCTCGAACATCGAGCGGGAAGTGTTGAAACATCCGACCGCGTTAACATCGAACCACCCTCGAAGGCAATGTTAGATCGCCTGTCAAAACACAACGTTTACCACAAGCTACTGCAAAAAGTAAGGGAGTCTGATGATATTAACCCCGAATACAATGAGTGGGAAGAGCTGGAAGAAGAAGATGTGGGGGTGTCACCTACAACACCTCTCAGCAGAGGTGAATGGACAGAGGCGGATCAATTACACCTCAAACAATTGATTCAACTCCGCGAATCCGTATATCGCTACTGTCGACAGGTTCCGGTTTTGGGGTTTAACTCATCTAACTATGACTTAAATCTCGTTAAATCCTACCTAGCACGTACCCTCGGGTTGGTTGGTACTCAATCCAACAACTTCATCATCAAGCGAAACAACCAATACATCTGCATAACAACCGAAAAGTTTAGAATATTGGACCTTTCACAATATCTTCCACCCAGAACTAGTTACGAAAACTTTTTGAAAACTATGAAAATCCGAAAGAGTAAAGGGTTCTTTCCTTACAACATTCTGGATGATGTTAAACGACTGGATGAACCCGGGCTTCCACCCGTCGACGCTTTCTGGTCGGACCTGAAAAAGACCAATACCTTATCGGATCCAAACAGAGGGGCTTACGACAAACTCCGACGAGAACAACCAACCAAAACCGAGGTGGATATACTCACAACGCTGAAACTCGAACGAGTTCCTAACACGATTGAAGAAAATTATGCATACCTGCAGAAGGTGTGGAAAGAAAACAAAATGGAAACGTTAAAGGACTTGTTAGTGTGGTACAACAATATGGATGTGCAACCAGGTGTGGAGGCCATCTCACGCCTCAAGGAGTTTTATTGGAAAGAAATAGGGGTAGATATTTTCAGTGAAGCCATCTCCATACCCGGTGTTGCTCGAAAACTTTTGTTCAAAACAGCCAAGGATTCTGGGGTGGGATTCGCTCTGTTCAATGAAAAGGACAGTGACTTACACGAGACTGTTAAGGAAAATATTTGCGGAGGTCCGTCGTTATTATTCACACGCTTCCATCGAACAAGTGAAACCTACTTGCGGGGTAATCCAAACAAGTGTTGTGGTAATCTCATCGGATTAGACAGCAACGCATTATACCTCTTCTGTTTAGGACAGGAGTTGCCCGTGGGGCGTTACATACGCTGGCTTCCCGCGAAAAACGGGACGTTCACTCCAACAAAATCGTGTGAAAGATATACAGCTTCGTATGATTGGTTAGACTGGGTATCATACACCGAGAATATACAAATATCGCACAAGATGAACGCTGGTTGTGAAAAACGCGTTGGGCCTTACTTGGTAGATGGATACGATCCAAACACGAAGACCTGTTTCGAATATTACGGGTGTTACTGGCATGGATGTCCAAAATCGGGTTGTACGGTGTTTAAGCGAAACCATTCTTCAACCTCAACAACACCAACGCAGCGATTGGAAAGAACTATATCACGAGAAAAGTACATCAGGGCAAGTGGTTACAACCTCGTTTGTGTGTGGGAATGTGACTTTTTTCGTATGCAAAAAGACAATCCAAATTTGAGGGAATTTATTAAATAAACAGCACCAGTTCTACGCAGATTCTTGCCATCAATGTAATTTCATCATCACAAAATGTTTTCTGACTATCATTTCACATGAATCCTTATGACACTAAGACTAGTGTAAAATGACAGTCCTAAAATCATTTTTCATTATGGAATTTCAGCTAAGACATGATTGAGGAATTTTCCCCAGTCTACCCACACTATTCTGACATCACGGATTGGGATACAGAGTAAGTATGCTATAAAATAGTTATATTTTTTTTTACAAATATTCAGTTAATCATTGGTAATGTTGTAAAACACAATTTCTGATAAACAGTAGGCTCATTGTTTCACATTGATGACAGCCTTCTCTCCTCCTCATAAGTGTATATTAGATACATTGAAGTTATTACTACCTGAAGTAAATGTATTATTATCATATACAGGATTTTTATCTTATTTTGTTCCTTATTTTTTTTCAGTCTAACCGAAGTCATCCAGGCACATATAGAGTGGAGAAGGGGGGAGGTGGAGAATCGAATATGGGCTCTTCCACATGAAGAGTCCTTATTGGACATTTTAGAGATAATTATTAGAGAATATTAGGTTTTTGTAGTGTTAGTTAGTGTTAGTTTTATATTATGTTTAATTTGTTATCTTTGTGTATATATTAACTTTTGTTCATATATGTGTTTGTGTAAATAAAGGTGCCCAAGGGTGGGCAAATGATTCATTGATTGTGGAGTACAGTCATATCACACCTGTTACTTCACATGAATGGGTTATTTGTCCCAACCCATCAAAACATCTAGACATGCTGGGAAAAAGGCTGTTGAATATATTCTCAATATTGGATACACCTGCTGGACTGGATCTATCTGTTCATGGAAATATGTGTGATTGTGTTGCTGGATACATGATACAATGGATATGTGTGTGAATCGATCTGTTCATGGACATATGTGTGAAGCTTGTGCTAAGGGATTTCCTATGGATCACATGAGGTAAGTTGTTTCAATTCCCTATTTAGATGTTAGTATGTTTCCACAAATGTGAAGGGTAACTTACCTTGATGTTCTGTTGAAAATATATATCCTTTGAATTGCACACAGTATAAACCAAAGATGTTTTGTAATAATGTGAGAAATATCCACAATGTTTAATCACTCCAGAGATGTGTAGTTGAGAGGCTGAGCTATTGAAGCTATAAATCCAGTGAATCACACAGTATAATCCAAGGTTATTTAGTAATCCAATAAGAAATACACTGGTATGGAGTATATCCACAATGTGTAATCACTAGGTGTAGTGACTGAACTGTGTATGACATGGGGCTGTTTGGGGGACTTTATATTACCCACCCGAGTCTAAAAATAGACACACCAGATGTGCACACAATAGATCTCAATATACAATAGAGAGCAGTGACTCATCATCTAAATATAGACTATGTAAAGTCTAACAATATATTTTGACCTATCACGTGAGTCCTAGTCACATGGCTCAGGCAGGATTTGTGTACTTAATCAGAGGGGACGCTTGCAAGTGTTTTCAATGTGGTCTCGTTCTCAAGAACTGGGAAGTAGATGATGATCCCTGGGCCGAACATGAAAAATGGTCTCCAGATTGTCCGTATTTGGCCCTGGTGGGAGTACCTCAGAAAGAGGTGACCCGTTGGGGTAGTCATGTGGATTTGCAACCAAGAGTGTGATGTAAAATGTGTGACTATTGGAAATAAATCAATGTTAAGAGTTATGTCTGCCTTGGTTGTCTATGTATAGTATAAATAGAGGTTTACTCAAATACTAATCTCACTGAGATCCCAACCACGATAAGAGTTTGTTTGCTAGAAATAGTATGGCTAGGTACGTGTTAAAACATTACGAATTTTTAAGGTTCATGTTAATGTTTCAAGACATTGAGGAGATTCGACAAGACATCTTAGAAATGAACAGAGAACAGATTCTTGCCATCAATGGTATTATCAATAGGTTATTAAAGGAAAGATTACCAGTGACTCGATATGAAAGGCGTCGTTTCTTGAGGAAAAATGATAGAAATAACTATCTAGCGGTGTTACGAAGATAAGTTCACCCCCTGTGGACGACAGACAGTATGTGGAAGAGTCTTTTTGCCAGTAACATGCCAATCGTAGCATTTGTTTTGAAACCACAGTTTGTCAATGCACTTAGAGATGAGGCCATTCAAAATGCCTGGTCGTTTGATAGAGCATTGGCTTAGTATGTTTAAACCCCTGGTCCCCATTCCTACACACTTCACCCCCTGGCTCATTCACTGTTGTACCTAACAAGAAAAAAATGGCAGAAGAATTTTGGGAACTGTAAGTATTTCTATGTTACATTTTGATAATTATTGTGAAAGTAATTTCATCATCACAAAATGTTTTCTGACTATCATTTCACATGAATCCTTATGACACTAAGACTAGTGTAAAATGACAGTCCTAAAATCATTTTTCATTATGGAATTTCAGCTAAGACATGATTGAGGAATTTTCCCCAGTCTACCCACACTATTCTGACATCACGGATTGGGATACAGAGTAAGTATGCTATAAAATAGTTATATTTTTTTTTACAAATATTCAGTTAATCATTGGTAATGTTGTAAAACACAATTTCTGATAAACAGTGGGCTCATTGTTTCACATTGATGACAGCCTTCTCTCCTCCTCATAAGTGTATATTAGATACATTGAAGTTATTACTACCTGAAGTAAATGTATTATTATCATATACAGGATTTTTATCTTATTTTGTTCCTTATTTTTTTTCAGTCTAACCGAAGTCATCCAGGCACATATAGAGTGGAGAAGGGGGGAGGTGGAGAATCGAATATGGGCTCTTCCACATGAAGAGTCCTTATTGGACATTTTAGAGATAATTATTAGAGAATATTAGGTTTTTGTAGTGTTAGTTAGTGTTATGTTTATATTATGTTTAATTTGTTATCTTTGTGTATATATTAACTTTTGTTCATATATGTGTTTGTGTAAATAAAGGTGCCCAAGGGTGGGCAAATGATTCATTGATTGTGGAGTACAGTCATATCACACCTGTTACTTCACATGAATGGGTTATTTGTCCCAACCCATCAAAACATCTAGACATGCTGGGAAAAAGGCTGTTGAATATATTCTCAATATTGGATACACCTGCTGGACTGGATCTATCTGTTCATGGAAATATGTGTGATTGTGTTGCTGGATACATGATACAATGGATATGTGTGTGAATCGATCTGTTCATGGACATATGTGTGAAGCTTGTGCTAAGGGATTTCCTATGGATCACATGAGGTAAGTTGTTTCAATTCCCTATTTAGATGTTAGTATGTTTCCACAAATGTGAAGGGTAACTTACCTTGATGTTCTGTTGAAAATATATACTCCTCACAAAAAGTTAAGCAACACAAATTTGTAGTCTCATTACATTTTCATTTATTGAAATTTCAAATCATGGAATGATGCAATAGAAAGGTTAAATATGTATACACACGATTAACAAAATGAAATGAAATGGTATTGAGCAATAATAGACTTACAAATCATCAAAAGCATGTACCCGCGAAACAGTCGTGCAAAATGTGCTGCATTGATGGAGCAAAATGTTAACATTAAGGTTCAAGTCAGTTTTGGACAGTGAAGCAGTGTTCAGTAACGCGTATGACCACCATGAGCACAAATGCAAGCTTCTACACGTCTTTGCATTGACCAAATGAGCCTTTAAAGTTGCTGTTGTGGAATGTTCTGCCATTCTCTGTAACGCCTGCTCAAGGTCATCCAGAGTCTGGGGGTGCACATGGAGACCGTAAACACGACTTCCAATAATGTCCCAAGCATGTTCAATGGGATTAAGATCAAGTGACCTTGCAGGCCAGTCCATATGTGTGATGTTGTTGATCTAAACAACATCGTTAACAACTCATTCTCGGCCATTATCATCCATGGACGGGCATTATCACCCATTAAAATGAAGTTAGGACCCGCTTGTTGTGCCAGAGGAATGATTACAGGTAGGTTTACAATGATCAGGGTGCATGTGTGAAGAGTGGTGCACATTCATCCCACACATTTTGCATGTTGTTTCTGAGTGTGGTTGTGTTCGGGTTATGTTGTCAATGTTATCAGATAAATTAATTTGACAGTCACTAAAGGTTATGTATTCTTTGAATATTTACCTTTCAGTAACATGTCGGCAAAAATTGCTATCGAAATTGATAAAGATATTACACTGAAAATACTTGTTGCTTATTTTTTTGTGAGGAGTATATATCCTTTGAATTGCACACAGTATAAACCAAAGATGTGTTGTAATCATGTGAGAAATATCCACAATGTTTAATCACTCCAGAGATGTGAAGCTGAGAGGCTGAGCTATTGAAGCTATAAATCCAGTGAATCACACAGTATAATCCAAGGTTATTTAGTAATCCAATAAGAAATACACTGGTATGGAGTATATCCACAATGTGTAATCACTAGGTGTAGTGACTGAACTGTGTATGACATGGGGCTGTTTGGGGGACTTTATATTACCCATCCGAGTCTAAAAATAGACACACCAGATGTGCACACAATAGATCTCAATATACAATAGAGAGCAGTGACTCATCATCTAAATATAGACTATGTGAAGTCTAACAATAGATTTTGACCCTATAAAGCCCCATAGCTAAAAATAGATTTTGCCGCCATAAAGGCCCTTATACTACTTTTATGTAGAAAATATAATTTCGAAATGATAGACGCTAAGCGCTTGATTAATTCATGCGATGGTCTGATATTTAAATGTTTACGTACAGCGAGCTGGATGTTTACTTATGTACTTACAACGGGGTGGGAGTTTACCTACGGCTTAGGGATTACTTATCGAGTGATTTAACCAGTTTTATCGTTCCTATAGGAGTCTATGTTAAAATTTGTCGCCGCACGCCATCACACTATACTACTCTCAGTGTTAAGCATAACCCCCATTCAAATGTGTATCGAGGGGGTGAGGGGTTCTGCAAGGTGTCTGGCCAACAGGCCAACAATTCCTTTGTGTGTGAGGCAGACTTTGTGCTTTGTGTATGAGACTGTGACCGGGTGTTTTGGAGTAAGCGAGTGTTCTGTAGCATCCAAACATTGATGTTTACTAAAGAAAAAAGAAGCAGATGTTGTTTTGCTACATGGTGGAGTTGGCTTATTTTTTCTGAATTCAAACATTCAGAAAAACAACCAGTGTCTTCACTCCGAAACGTTCAAGAATGGCAGAGAGTAAGGTAATGTACGCACAAGAAGCTAGTGAGTATAAAAGACACTCGAAAAACGTGACATTTTCATACCACCATGGCTTCCTTCCAAAATACGGATGAATTTGTAGCAGAAGACTGTGGAGGGATGTAAGTATATTGCCTCCAATGTTTGATACTTGATACATGATGCAAGTTGAATAATACAGTTCTTTTCAAGTAAAAATCTTTCAACAAAAAAATGTTTCAATCATAAAAAAAACTAGTATTACTGCAGTAACTGTATGTTATATATACTTATTTTTTTCAGGATCGGAATGGACTGGGATGACCTAATCATTAAAGAACTTGAGGAACTGGAAAAAGCTTTTAATGCAAGTTGATCAATGTTCCAAAGCTCCGATCTGGTTCTCTCCTGATAGAATGTACTCGGAGACAACAATCCTTGAATCTCCCCAAAATACAAGATTTTGTCAACATCAAGGTTGCTGTCTCAGCGCACAAAACACTTAACTCGTGTAGAGGCATTGTACCGGACAGAGCTCGATGCGTTTTGGCTTCCGACTTCAGTACATCTCGTAATATCATCTGCATTTATAATGAATTCGTCATTACTGATGTGAGTATTTCGGTATTTGTTTTACTTCTGGAAACGCGATAACATTATTACGTTATAATGTCGTCATTAATTGCAATTAATTTTGTGAAAGGATTGTATAGTTTTGTTTGACTGTTTTTTCCTGTGTTTTGTATGTTTAACAGCGTTGACCGCACCTCCTTTTCCTCTCCCTCCAGCAAGTCATCGCTCGATACAACTTGGAATTACCCGGAAGTACTTTTTTTTCATTTCTTAGGTAACTTTTATCAGAATGAAAAGTCAACAAAAGAATTTTACGAACGAAGGATCATTGGATTACAATATTTAATGAGTCGTGTTTATCTTTCCTCTTTATTTTCATTTTAATTTCATTTGTAGTTTCTGGAGCAGCTCTCCAGTACGTCCAGGAGTGAAGACACTTAAGTGGCGTCTCTCTTACGAGTACCTCTTCGCGACTTCAGAATGAATTCGTCATTTACTATGTGAGTATTTCGGTATTTGTTTTACTTCTGGAAACACGATAACATTATTACGTTATAATATTGTTATTAATTGCAGCTAATTTGGTTTGACTGTTTTTTTCCTATGTTTTTCTGTTTGTTTAACAGCGCTTTGACGGCACCTCATCTCCCACAACTATGAATTATCCTCTCCCGGGACTGTGTTCTTTTATGATATATGTCGACCGAGTACACGAAATCTCGGCCGCATTATTATAAGAGATTCACCCGAGTTAATTAACGACATAACTCGGAGGAAAACGTGGGTTTCTCGGAATCTGAACACGCTTGGCATTTACAGTGGCTTTGAGTGTGATGCCCTCAAAGCTACTCATGTTGTGTATAATGGGAAAAAAGAGTAATGCTGGATATATGTATAACGATCTGTTATGGTTTGATTGTACTGTTCAAGACAATAATAAGAGTATTGAATCTGGTGGTGAGGGTCCAGAATCGGATATGGTGATCGAGGAGATTTAAACCATAACTGAACCTCATTTGACATGATTCAACTTTTGTGAAATGTGTGGAAATGCGATTCACAAGGCACAATACACCGACGACACATGGATAAAAATAGTGATATATGGTACTTTAAAGAGTAACATTTAGTGCTACTTTGATACAGTACCTTTTGGATATATATTGCTATTTTTTTTGGTGTGATTATGCCCGATTGTGAACTTTCGAAACAGTTTCGAAATTAAAAGTATTATTTATCGACTTCTTTCAAGAAGTTAGAAATTTTAAATCTAAGACACACAACGTCATCACGTGTTGTTTGTTGAGTCATATTATAAACAACTGTCATTTCAGTTTCGATTGACTATTTGAAACACTTACCATTCAGAAATTAGACACCGGCCATGATGTGGTATTGGATACAGAACATATGAAAACAGTTGTAGAATATTTGATAAGATCCGATACCATTGTGGAGTTCCATCGGTTCAAAGAAGAATACAAAGATAACTTACACAAGGTAAGTATATTCATTATTTATGTAGAGTAGATGTTTCAGTACTCTATCTCTTTTCCTTTAATCATTCTGTGCACCTTACCTCATCAAAAAGTCTATCAGTGTCAATATCTTTTGTGTTTTTTTTTATAAATTTCATATTTATTACTATATGATATTATTACTAAGATGTGGGGAAAACTGCTGTCAACTTAGGGTTAATATATTGCAACAAGTTTCCGTCTACGTTAAAAAAATCACACTTATTACTTTAGTGAGTTACGATTTAAAGTTCCTTTGACAATATTTTATTCATATCGCACCTAAACGTCTCAACATGCCAGTTGCCCGACGCATGAATGTTCACTAAAGCACCATTTCACAGCTCTGGGAGAGATATCGCCGGGAGAGATATCGCCGGCAGAATGCGGTAGCAGATGCCCCTCATGTGCGAGTTCGAGCGACCACTGCGGCGCAGGATCGCTACATCCGGGTACATCATCTGCGTCATCGCACAGCTACAGCGACCAGGACCACTCGACAAATACCCGGATTGAGGAGGCTTTCTGCCGTCTGGAAAAGGTTGAGAGAGGCTGGTTTACGTGCCAGGAGACCTTATTTTGGCCCTGTGCTTCGACAACAACCCTGTCGACATCAAGTTCAATGGTGCACCAACGTTCAGGCATGGAACCTACCGAAATGGCGTAGAATCTCGTTCAGTGATGAATCACGATTTCTATTGGAACGACGAGATGGAAGAAAGCGGGTGTACAGACGTCGATGTGAACGTTTCGCTGTCGCTTATGATGTGGGGAGCGATCACCTGCTGTAGGAGAAGTGATTTGGTGATGAGCCAGGGCAACCTGACAGCTCAACGTTACTGTGACGAAATCCTACGCCCACACCTCCTTCTAATCATTGATCACCAGACTACACGATTTTCATATTCTCAATGACAATGTAGCCCAATTTCAGTGGACTCGTGACACTGAATTTATCCCTCAGATTGAGACTACCAACATCTTTATTGGCACTTTTACCACCTGTTATGCAAGACTAAAACTGTACAAAATATTGAACATGCTGCAACAACGTGTCTTGTACCATGACACTGACTCGGTCATCTTTGTCTTTAGGCCTGGTGATGTCAATCCACCCTTGGTGGATTATTTGGGGAACTCGCAGATGAATTGGAAGGAGACAACTTTCAAATGTTTTGTTCAGGGGACCAAAGAATTATGCCAAACAAAATCTGGGAAAGAAACATGCAAAGTCAGAGGATTCACACTGAATTCTACCAACTCACAATTGATCAATGTTGACTGTCAAAGACATGGTGCTTTGTGACAACAGAAAAAATTCCCCCAAACAAAAAACTTTAGAAGTGGTAAATCCGTCGAAAATTACCAGAGATAAATATTCAGCCAATATATACGACAGGAAATAAACTTATAGAATGGTCTACACCAAACGTGCCATTCAGCCTAATTTAGATACTTTACAATATGAGTTTTATGTCAGTTGATTAGATACATATTAAGAAGTATCCCACCATCTGCGATGTCACTACACCGATTTGACCGTTTATCATAGGCTCTACCTCACGTTCTCTGTTACGTGACAAGAACGTTCGGGAAGTCTCTGCATCACTTTGTGTGTGTGTTCAAGCATCACGTTTCCAGCTTGTTAAGCGCCTTAGGGATGAATACAGTAAGACTACCACGACTGTTCGAGTCCTATCGAATTTAACATTTCCGGACAAGGCATGGATTACATCGATCTCATGCATACGCGAATTCACGTTAAGGCTTTAATTATGAAAGTAGACGGCACCCCTCTCGTGAATGAGGAAAATACAGGACCACTCAACCTATTTCTCCAGTCTCTGTTTTCCCAAGTCGACGTATCCCTGAATGGAAAACTCATTACCACCTCCAGTAATCTGTATCCGTACAAGACCTATGTCAACGTGCTTCTCAACGAAACCAATAACGTTAAAACATCTCTCCTACAGTCTCAGCTTTACTACAAAGACAGTCCTGACAATGCTGACGTGACTAAGTAAATGGAGAACGTCGTACTCTTCAAATGATCTCTTTGGGTGAGTGCGTGAGTTTGGTTTTACGCCGCACTCAGCAATATCCCAGCTATATGGCGGCGGTTTGTAAATAATCGAGTCTGGACCAGACAATCCAGTGATCAACAGCATGAGCATCGATCTGCGCAATTCGGAACCGATGACATGTGTCAACCAAGTCAGCGAAACTGACCACCCGATCCCGTTAGTCGCCTTTTACGACAAGCATAGTCGCCTTTTATGGCAAGCACATTGGTTGCTGAAGACCTATTCTACCCCGGATCTTCACAGGTCAGATCTCTTTGGACGAACCTCAGTAAGACTGTAGATATGGAAGGTCCTCTGTACGAAGATTTGATGGATTCTAAACGTTACTTGATCAATGGGGTGGTTATGCAGATCAGAGTGTTCCGAACATCATCAGCGTTCTGCTCATGTCGAGTGAAATAAATCCTTGTTACAAAGTGAAGAATGAGAACGTGTAAGATTCGACCTAACCCGTCGAAGATCACGAGCCACGTTAAAGTATAACAAGACGATTTGGCCAAGTACCCATTTACCAAGAGTGACATCAAGGCTGTCTCTT